ATGTGTGAACTTTTGAGGTGACTTCTTATATTCAGCATAACTTATCTTTGAGATTCATCTAACTTGTTGTGCATATCAATAGTCTATTCTTTCTTATTGTTGAGTAATATTCCATTGTATAAAAGTGCCACAATCTGTTTAATCATTCACCTGTTGAATAACGGAACATTTGGATGGTTTCACTAGTAATGGTGCTTTGAGCTTTTGTGGACAGGTTTTTGTGTGAACCTAAGTTTTTATTTTTCTAGGGTGAACATTCAGGAGAGAGAGATCTGGGTCACTAGTCAGCGTATGTTAACTTTATAAGAAACTGCCAAAACACTTTCCAGAGTGGCCTTATCATTTTGCATTCCCACCAGCAACATGTGAGACTTCTAGTCGCTCTACGTCCTTGTCAACACTTGGTATTACCAGTATTTTTATTTTAGTCATTCTAGTGGATATATAGCAGTAAATAGTTTTAATTTACATTTCCCTAATGGATAATAACATTGAACGTTTTTCATGTGCTTATTTGCTATCCTTTTATCCTCTTCAGTGAAGTGTCTGTTCAAGTCCTTTCTCCATTTTTAAATTGTATTTTTTTGTCTTTTTATTAAGTTTTGAGAGTTCTTAATATATATTGAATAAAAGTCCTTTGTCAGGTGTGATTTTTGAAATATTTCCTCCTAGTTGGCAGCTTGTCTTTTCATTTTCTTAACAGTGTCTTTGACAGAGCATAAGTTTTTAATTTCGGTAAAGACTAGCTTATTAAATTTTTATTTTGTGAAATGGTGTCATTTCTAAGAACTCATCATCTAATCCCAGGTCATGAAGATTTTCCCTTATGTTTTCTCCTTAAAGTTTTGTAGTTTTATGTTTTTCATTCAGATCTAGGCTCCATTTTGAGTTAATCTTTGCATAAGGTGTGAGATTTAAGTTAAGTTCATGGTTTTATATGTGAAAGACCAATTGTTCCAAAACCATTTTGCTGAAAAGACTATTCTTTCTCCACTGAGTTGCTTATGCCAATTGCCTTTGTCAGAGATCAAATGCCCGTATTTGCACAAGTCTATTTCTGGACTCTTATTTTGTTCTCTTGATCCATGTGTCTCTCTTCACCAGTTCCATACTGTCTTCATTACTGCATCTTTATAGTAAGTCCTAAAATATTTACTTACAGTAAAAGAGCTCTAATTTTATTTTATTTTTCAAAATTATTTTAGCTCTTCTAATTCTTTTTCCTTTTCATATAAATTTTAGAATCAGCTTCTCTATATCTGCAAAAAATTCTGCTGGGACTTTGACATGCATTGCTTAAAACTATAGTTCACTTTGGCAGAAGTGACATCTTTACTATGTTGACTCTTTTAAACCGTGAACACAATATGTCTTTTCATTTATTTAGATTTTCTTTGATTTCTTTCATCAGAATTTTGTAGTTAAACATGTAGCAACTACAGCATGATAGTTCCAGTTGTTAGTAACTGTTAGCAACTGTTGTTAGATTTAGAACTAAGTACAGTGTTTCAATTTTTGGAAGTATTGCAAATGGTATATATTTTTAAATTTTAGTTTCCAGTTTTTCATTGCTTATTTATATAGAAATACCATTGATATATGTGCATTGATCTTTAATCCTCACTATTTCTTTACAGAGTCCATTTAGAAAATACTAAATAGTTTCTCATATTATTTAGCTCTCACCAGACCCCTGAAGCTAGAACACAGCATAGAAGCAGGATGGAAAGGAAGCATGGTGCTTGTGAAATAACCCAGGCTTTAGGTAAAATGAGACAGCTCTGGGATCCCATCCTGTCTTCTCAAACATGTGACCTTGGGCAATCCCTTTGCATTGTCCTGGCACACAAAGAGTTCTCAGCAAGATTAGCTTTCCAAAATGAAAAGAAGATAGAAAAGTCTGGAGCCATCATTTCCAGATTTTCTTCCTTTTTAAGCATCAGAGCTTCCTTCAAACAACAGCCTATATGTCAAACCAATAAAAATGGAACTTCTCTAGCTGAGTCATATAGTATCCTAGCTGTATTTGTGTGAGTCTTCTTCTGGACACTACCCTATCCCTTCAGGAATACTCACTGTTCCCTAGAATTTCAGGGAGCACCATTTGAGAAAAAATCGTCTGCAGTATAGATATAGGAGATGCTCTGAAGGTGACCAGACTCCACAGGATGGGAGCAGAGAAGCATGTACAATGTTGTTACTTAAAGTGTAGTCCCTGGACTCACTGAATCTCAGGCCCATCCCAGCAGTGTCACCTGAATCTCAGGCCCATCCCAGACCTACTAAATCCGAATCTGCGTTCTGACAAGATACCCTGATCGGTACTGATCTGTGCACACATTAGAGTTTTAGAGGCCCTGGTACATGTGAGAAGAGGGGGAGAAAGCACATGATAGAGTCATCACAAAGTGTGAGGCATACCGAAAGAGCTCAACTAAATTTTGCCAAAGCTGCATTCCATTAATCCTCTTTAGAAATTTAATAGTTTGTGTAATATTATTAACATTTTTTCAGATTTCTTTAGGTAGTAGGAGTTTAGTAAAAGGATCATGTATTTTGCTTATCTTTCACTTTGACCCTTCAGACCCATTTTTGAATTTCTAAATTATCTTTTGAGTACAACACTGTCTACCCCTATGAGGATTTGTGGCTTGTAATTATTTTTTTTAAAACAAAAAGATTTCCAGCCACAAACAGGCAATCCATAATGCCCTGACTCTATAATATGAGTTTTTAATGAAATATTAGGTATTTGAGTAAAACGGTACTGCACGCAAATTATTAAACAATATAGCAGTCGGCCAGGCAAGAACCTCTACTTCTTTTCCACAGTAGTGGCTCTGTAGCTCCTCAGCTAGATGCTGGCATTCTTTTTGTGAATGATTGATTTTTTTGACCTCTGAATACTGATAAATCTATAACCAGCTCTGATGTTAATATTGTGCCAGGATGAAAAACAGAATAATTATGACACAGCAGGGGTTACAACATTGAAAGAGAAATTGAGGATTCAGCAAATTGAAATGTGGATTTATTATCTATGTTTTTTGTGATCTGACCTGGAGTCCAGAAATTGCAGTATCCTACCAGCTCTCTCACTGATAAAGTTTGGATTACTTGTAATTTTCAATCTATTCTATTGCCATGGGACCCTTGTGCAAAGGAAATGGTACGTGGCCACCCTATGTATGAAAGAAATAAGAAAGGGACAGCAAGCTGACTGCAGTTGAACCACGTGTGAAACTCCTGGGCAAGTTGCTCTCCAAGGGTGTTGTCTAGCTCTGAAAATTGGATAATGCAATAAGCAGTGCTTGACAATCAATGGATTGAAGCCAACTCGTCTTCACCTAAATGATTTTATATTTTAAAAGACCTAAACAATTCCTTGAATATTTTTTTCAACAGGAATTTCAAGAATCAGGTTTTTTAATAGCTCTAAGTGTATTTTGTTACTGCAAGCAGATTTAATACATTGAGTAAGCATGACTCACTAAGACAACCCAAATGCTTCTCCACTTGCCTTTAACTTACCCATTAGGAGCTTCTTGATCTCCTTTATCACACTTGATCCTGAACTTGTGATTTTGCTCACAACAGTTCCTGACTAATCACAGAGAACCAAATATAGGAAGGGGAATTGAAAGACCAGGATGCCAAAGAGAGTTACCCAATTTAATTATGAATCTCTTTGCTTTGCACAGGAAATATAAATTATGGTGTTACTGTCCCCTATAGAAAATACTGAGAAAGGGAGAACATTTATTCTCCACCCCTCATGCTCACCCCGTATTTCCATTGGCATTCTGCCTTCTCTTCCCTTGGGTATTGTTCGGGGCCTCTTTCTTCACTCACGTAATTCCCTCCTTCTCACAGGAGGGAAAGTGAGATGATTGGTCAGAGCCCATGTCATTCACGGTCCATGGTTTCAGCTGTGGGCAGAGTCTGAGCACTACGGCTCATGACCTCCAAGGTCCACGGCAGATCGGGTAAACAGATTTACAGCCTGCTCCTCAGACCAAATCAACCTATCAGGGAGATCTTATGGCCGGATTCAGGAGAGTGTTAAAAAAGTTCCATGTAGGCCTCATTTCCAAGCTCTGTTCTCTAACCCAGATATTACCAGACCCTGCATTTTGAGGGATATTGAGTGTTTTCTCTTCTAGTCACAAAATCTGTACTTGGTTCCCTTTGGCTTGTTATCTTTACACCTAGGGTCTGTCAGAACTAGAAGGTGGGAGAACTGAGTCTTAGGCCCTCCAGCCTCTGACACAAAAACTCCCTTGCATTTGTAAAATATTTTATAACTTACAAGGCATGTTTACTTTTAGTAGCTCACTTGATCCTTACAACCCTGAGAGTTACCTTAAGATCTTCCTAGCCTGACCCATGATCTTTTCAGTGATAGAAGAAACAAGGCTTCTGACACCAGGAAAATGTTCTTTCTACTCCATCCAAAACTTGGGCATTGGCAGTGACTTGAAGATTCCTTCTATCTTGTTTCTCTTCAGCAACACTATCAAGCAGAGCTTCCCCATGAATTGGGGGACAGAGTTGCATAAATAGATGAAGATGCCTATGCAATGCATTTGAGAGGAAGTGATGAGAAAAATAAATGTGACTTGTAATTGATTAGCTTGGAAATCCAGCAGCTGTGGCAGAAATGCTGGATGAGAAAGAAGATTTGAGAGACCAAGTCTCTATTCCCTTGGTCCCCTCACTTCCAGACAATCAGGAGAATCTAGTTTTGAAATCTGTAATAAGCTATCTGTAATAAGCTACTCTGGTGGTGAGGTAGTAATGAGGTAGAATTGAAGCACCTGGAGAACTGGGAGACCATTTGAAGAAGATGGTGACACCTACTGATACTGGTATGGGAAAGCAGTTACATATTAATGATCCTTAATTCAAATAGGAACAAAACTGTCCCTTATTCCCTTCATCCTCCCCCAAGTTCATGCATACTGCTGGGGTTACCCAAGGCAGACAGAGATATAACTGCTGCTTGAGTCAGTTTCCCATTTATTTTCCAAAGGCAAGGAGGCCCTATCTGAAATTGCTGCTTGGCAACCTTGAATTCAAACCTTCACTATTGGGTGCCACTTGTATAATCTGTAGAAGGGCTCCAAAGTAGAAGTGCATCGGCGAGCAGGTACCTTCCAAAGTTTGGCTCCCAAGCTCTGGCTGTGGGCACCACTTGGCATGCTTGCTCTGTGTCTTGCCAGTCTAGCATTTATCTGCATGGTTTTCTTGGGTTGCTCCTGTGTGGATTTCTCACACAACACCTGAAGGAAGAAGAAAAGGAAAGAGACATTTACTGAGCATATATCGTTTTCTAGGCAGAATGTCAGGTAATTGCTAAGCATTATCACATTTACCATCACCACTTATACAAAGCCAAGGCATTAAATGGCATCTCACAGTTATAAAAATAGTCCTCAATTTATAATTCATATAAATGATTACCTCACTTAATCTTCATGATAGTCTTATTGTGAGAAGGTCATGATCTACGCTTTAGAAATGGAAAAACTGAGACTCGATGAGATTTACCAATATGCCCAGGCCACAGAAAGAGTTTTGGGAGAACTGACACTTGCACCCAAATTAGCAATCATGCCAACAGGGCCTGAAAGGCCTGACTTTCATGTAAGACCTGTTCTGAAGTTACGGAAAGCATGTAGGCTCCAGAATCATCCAGATGTGGCTTCAAATCCTGACTCTGGTACATTCTAGCTCTGTGACCTTCATCAAATCTCTTAACCTGATGGAGTTCTAGTTTCTTCATCTAAAATGGAGAAAATAATACATATCTCATAAAATTGGTACACAATTTAAGTGGAATAAATTATGCTAGGTGCTTGGAGCTCAGTGGTTTTCAACAAATGCTCATTTCCTCTTCTGTTTATCTTCTAGAGCAGGTAATCATGAATGGAGGCACAGGTGGGTGAAAGGTCTAGGATCCGAATCTGGGGGTATATGGTCAGAAATGTGAGCACAAGTTCATCAAAAGAGATAATACCCTTTAAAGGTTGAAAACCACTCTTCCAGAAATTATTAATTGCAAAATGTGTAATCGAACATTTTATTGAGCAGTTTCCTCATGCAGGGCACCATGTTGGGTGCCGAAGGGGTTATAAAGACATGGTCTCGCCTTCAGAGAGTGAGCTTTGGCCTGCTGTGCATGTCTACTCTTCTTCCAAGGACTACTATGGAATGCGAAGATTCTTCAATTCTAGTCTCCTCCCATGTCCCTAAGAAAACTCTCCATCTTGTGTAGTTTTTTAAGGAGTTTTCCTGCAACTATAGGATCAAAACAAAAGGATAAAGTTTAAAACTTACCAGAAACCCTTAAAATCTTCCACCAGTAGTATCGCTGGCAGTCCCTCAGAACATAAGTGGAGCTGGGTTTGCTGGGTCTCTCTTAGTTCTTGTCTCCTAGTCTTAAAAGTCAGCCATGCCTACTTGCTCTAAACAGTTTTCTTATTACTGGGTCATGAAGTCAATTTTGCAGGTCTTGACCAGCATTTTTTAAATATAAAGACCAGACCAGATTAGAAAAATTGAAATGTGTCATGCTTATCCCTAGTAAGTTTTTTTTTCATGAAACATTAGTTTGTGTAAGATATTTTTTATTGTAGGTGGCTATCAAAAAAATTTGAAAACCATATTCTAAAAATACAAGGTCTTAGTCTTATAACTGCCAAGAGTGTTCATGGAATAAGTGGCAGGGCTTAGACTTTGGATTTAAGAGTAGCTTTTAGAAGTTACTTTCTTCCAAGCATTTCTATTAAAATTTACATAGCTGCCATTAGATAAATGCTCTTCCCTTCTGTTATGGCTGCATGAACCAATCAGCAAGATTGTCCCCTGATGTCTGCAACACAGAAGGTCTCCACGTTGGACAGTCTGTGAGCTGACACAGATTTCTAAAGAAACTGTGCTTTTATCTGACTGAATAATGTACGAATCAAAAGATATCTAAAATATAGATACTTGTTAGTTACCTTCTAGTGTCCTACAGTTCTAGTCTTGTTCAGAGAAGGAAGTGTTGTTGAGAACTAGAATGATAACAGAAGGCTTTGTAGAGTAGATGATGCTTGCACAGAACCTGGATGATCAGCAGAATTTGGATACTTGCAGCTACCTAAATGGGACAAACAAGCATAGCGGAAGGTGACCAGGAGACTGTATGAGTGAATGCGCCAGACTGGTGGGATGGAGAGTTAGATTGGAACTCTGCTGTGAGATAGCATAGAACTGTGAATTAAGACCAGATCCTCATGGAAATACATGAATGCCAGGAACAGAAGGGATACCTTCGAGGTTTCTCAACACATGAAAATGGTGTTTTAGGGAGGTTAACATTCTAGTTTTTGGAGCAGGATTTGGTGCAAAGAGACATCCAGCAAAGGTAGATCATATGAAGAGCCACCATCATGATCCAGGCTTGAAGCACCCAGGCCACCAACCAGAGTGGTGCAGTGGAAATGGAGAGGGCAGCAGAGATGGGAAGGCTTCCGCAAGACAGTGTGCATCACAGGGCTATCTCATCAGCCACATTATATTTATGTGCTCAGTCTTGAACCAGTTAATTTGCCCTTCAGATGTATCTTTCTTGAATATGTAAACTCTCTCATTAAGATACAAGCCATATGCCTGCTTTGAAGTTAAGTCAGACACCACCTAATGCTGGCCTTTACCTCTTTTTTCTCATTGGTAATCAGCTCACTAGAGCAGATGTTACTTCCCAACTCCAGAGATGCCAACAGCCTCAGAAAGAAATGGATTATAGAACTGGGGTCTGTACTCAGCATGATCCAAATATGGAAATCAAACCAAGGCCTTCTTAGGCTTCATGCTTGGCAGGGAGAATGAAAAAGGGCTTAATGCTGGGCCTCAGAAGACACTGTGGTTATCAGGGCCATAGTGGGTTTGCTTACTTGCCCATGGAAGGTCTTGCCAGTAGTGACAATTAACGCTAATGGCATACTTCAATTTATTTTCATGGATTAATTTGACAAATATTTATTGGCTGTGTACCAGGCACCAAACTAGGCTGCAGGGATAAAAAGATGCAAAGGGCACAGTTCTTGCCTTTGATGAAGTTTCCAGCTGAGTAGAGGAGACAGACTTATAAACAAGTAAATAATGTTACAATGGAGAGTTCTGCTCTCTGCTTGTCCTCTGAGCACCAAAAATTGTAATGATCTGGTGCTGTAGAGACAGATAGTTCGGGGTTAAAGTTTTTCCACTGCATACTTTTCAATAATCACTGGGAAGGTCAAGAAGCCGAATATAAACACCTTACAGTAAACCTCTTATTTGAATAAAAGCAAAAAAGAAAACTAAAATCAACAAGTCCTTTGTGAAACCTGGGAATTTCCCCCAGAATTATTTGGCCTTTTTCCTTGGGCCCTTATTTAACCAGTCACGGTTACACTGTCTGACCCTACTTCTTTTACAGAAGCCTTGAACTTCATGATGTGGGGGTCCCTAATCTCGGTTCCTCTCATGAGTCAGACTGCCAGTTTTTTGTGGTGGACAAGTCTGGCCAGCAGCAATAGGTACAGTGGAAACTGAAAGGAAGATAGCCCAAACTCTTTCAGAAATTCCCTAAGCAGCAGTTGTGAAAGTGTAGTCTAGTGAGGATTTGGCCTGGGAAGATTAGAAAAATGAAAAGCTTGTTTGTGAACATTTAATCTACTCTGTAAATTATAATCATTTCTTGTCAGATAGAATCCTGTCCCCTGATAGGCTCTGCTTCCCAGGGACAGCAATACAAGTACATCTTAGGAAAAGGTCAGCCCAGAATCACCAAGCAAAGAACAAATTTTGTTGTTAGTCATTTAGCTTATATTCTTCTGTAACAAGCTATTCATCTTTGCTGAGAATTAGAACCATGCTCGTATATGATTGAGTTTTTGCTTTTCTTCTTGTTTCACAGTAAATTCTTTAGTTTAAATGAGGTGGTTTCTAATGATGGGGATATGCAGGGTTGAGGTTAGAGAAGGGTAACAGAATGGGTGTTGACTGGAAATAAATGCTGTCATTATATTGGTTTTAAGGATTATTTTAAACCTTAGGAAGAGAGGAAGGTGCTGAGAACTCTTTGTTTTTTGTTTTTGTGTTTTCGGTTTTTTGGTTTTTTTTTTTTTTTTCTTGATAGAAATTGTAGATATCATGTCTTTAAATAGTTTCAGGCTAGTTTCCTTGGAAAGCATACTGCCTCCTTTCTCCCTTCATATTCTTGTTAAGTTTAGCTTAATGACAATGTGAGGGGCCAAAAAAGCTTTTAAAGCTGATTTCCTTTAGTTTGTAATTCCTTGCCAAGAACTGTAGGACTAATTAGCCATGCCTCCTTCAGTGTCCTGGCTATTTATGAAAATATAAAATAAAACAGAGTGCACATGCCTACACACACACACACACACACACACACACACACACACACACACACACACACACAGCCCAGTACAAGACAACGGCACAGAAAAAAATATGTTTAACTTAAATTCACTCAAACTGGAAGTGGTAAGAGGAATAATAAACACCATTAGTAAATTTTTTTCTTGTCCTCAAAGAGGGTGCCTCAAGCTGAAGCGCTTTACAGAGATTTAAGTCATACCTTGCAATTGGGTCTGGTGAAGCCATAACCTGGATCTTCTGTTGATCCTTACCAGCCAAAGTCTGTTCATGGAGGCTGGAAACACTGAGGTAAAATCACAGGGCTTTTTTGTTCTGTGCTTCTCAAGAGAACATAAATAATTCAACAGCTGTGTTTCACTCCACTGGAGTCCCCCAAACACTCACTCACTCCAAAAGTCATTTAAAGGGGTACACACCGAAGTAATTAGTGAATTATCCAGTTCAGGTGTGTAGCCAGGTTCCAGAGGTGGTCTTATGCAGACTTCAGATAATTACTTAATATATTGAGTTAAGGCAAAAATCTACAGTTCTGCTTCATGCTTATTTATGAATTTTTATCTATTAATCAAAAGATTCCAGAGAGTTGTATGAATCACAAAGGCATTGGAAAACATCAGTGCAACACATGTTAAACCAAAGCTGCAAAATGTCTAAATTATTCTCTAGTAATGATGTTTCCACATAGTTTAACATATTAAAGTTTAACTTACCAACCTTTCAGTAAGTTTAACCTGGCTCTTCCTGCAAGAGAGAGAGCCATTTCTTTTACTCACGTTACAACACAAAGGATTTGATTTCCTAATTATTAGAAGGAGAGTGGACTTTTGACATTCCTTGAAGTTCTACCCGAGGCCACTAGAGGGAAGGTCAAAGACTCATTGATTTATCAAATACTTATTGAGTATCTACAACATTTCAGGCCTTACTAGGTGCTGGTAGAACAGGACAAATACAGCCCTTGCCCTCATGCTAGACTTACACACATCTGGGATGTTCACCCAGCAGAAGTGCTAGATTCAAATTCTGTATGAGGGATTGCAACAAAAACATACAAAAAAAAGGTGACCAAGGAAGTAAAGGGTCTAGGAATGTAATATGACAAAGAGTTTAAAGAAATTGTGAAGCTTAGGGATGTTGTAGATATTATTCTCTGTAACTCAAGAGGGCATACTCAAGACCAGTGGGTGGTGGATTTCAGTTTTATGTAGAAAGGATATAACATCTAGACCCATTTCAGAACAGAATGAGCTGCTTTGAAAAATGGCAGGACTCCTACTCCTGTATGTGTTCAAGTAGCCACCACCTTAGACACTACTGCTCAGTGGTCTTGTGGGAGCATTTTTGCACTAGGCAGAGGTTTGCACCAGGTGACTTCTAATGAGCCTTCCCATTCTGAGATTCTATGATTCCATACACCTGATGGCCAGTGACCGTAGAAGTAACCAGCCACCTTTAGCAATTCATTCTCCAGCCTGAACATCCTAAATCTAGCCAGGAAGAGAATGGGGAGAGACTCTCTTTCCCTTTTTTCAAGGTGGAACAATGCAGTATAGCAATAGAAACTGCTCCCTCCTCTTACCTTCCTCTTACCACAGACTCATCCTTAAAGATCATCTGTCTGGAAAGATGGTCACTGACCAACGGTTTTATGGAAGGAGCCTTCAAAATTGTGCAGTAATTTGTCCAAAGATACATAGTTCAATGATGGCAGAGCCCAGAAGATACGCTCCAGTGTTTGAGTTCAGTTCATTTTCTATGACAGGCAGATCGTAAATGGTGAGTTTTTGCACCATGTTTTAAAGAGCAAGAGGACGGGAATATCTGACTGTGTCTGAGCCACATGCTGAGCTGGGACATGGATTCATTCAGTCTGATTTTCAGTACTTATTTAATTCTACAATGTGCCAGCTGCAGTCTTTGGAGTTGCTTAGCTATAACATTCTGAACAGAAAAATTCTAGACTTCTTTCCCTACATTTGCAATTCTCCTTTTTTTCCTCTTTCTTCCAACTCAAACTTTGAGGTTCCATGACTGTTTATAAAATCAGACACTTTGTTTCAGAAACAGTACAACTAATGTCTTTGTGAGCAAATGCCCTGTAAAAGCTCAAAACCTCAAAACAATTTTCAAATCTCTGCTTTCTTTTTTTAAAAAAAACTAGAAAGAACAATTAAAGAGATTTTAGGGAAAGGGTCCCTAAATCCATACAACACCCTCAACCACCTTTCAGGATATTTTCTTTGGAGGATATGATTACAGCTGTTCAAGCTTAAAAGTATTTACATTGAACAAAAATCTTGATTTTAAAAAATCATATGACTTTATATAAACTAAAAAATGGCTAAGAAACAAATCTTGGCATTTTTCATGGACACATATTGTCCATGGGCTATGGCCTCTAAAGGGTGCTTTTGGGGTTGGTGGGAAATGATACACAAAGACTGAAGAATGAGAATTTTGCCTAGTGCGTCATATTGGGTTGCAGCTGAATTTGAAAACAGCAGGTAGTCATCAGAAAGGTTTATGTGAAATCTAATGAATCAGAAAGAGAAAGCGAAGGGAAATGGTTTCTTTTCATATAGGGCCAGATTCTCATCTGATGTAAGTCTTGGAGAATTAGCCGACATATGGAAATTATCCCCATGTGGTCATATGGGATAGCAGTATGAGGAATTGTTAAAGGAACGGGAATATTTAGCTTTGTGAAGAGAAGATCTGGGTGGGACAGATAGCTTTTTTCAAATATTCGGAAGGTCAGCATGTGAAAAAGGAAGAATTGTGTGTTGCTCCCAAGGGCAAAACAAGGTCAAAGGATGGACATTGGAAAGACAGGCTGTGGTTTAATACTCTCTTGTGTCCTCCTAGAGCATCAGAGCATAGCTGCTTCTTCACAGCTAGATAGGCTCATATACGGGGACAAGAAGCTGTTTGTGGAGCCATCCCCTAGCAACTGGAATAGGACTGACAACAGTGTCAGCCTGCTGGGCATGGCTTGACTCCAAAGGCAATATATATGCAAAGCTCAGGCAAATGAAGCAAGGAGGAATGGAAGGCACTGGGGCTTTAGAGTTAGGAAGGTCTAGGTTGAAACTCTGGCCCTGGCATTTATTATCTGTGTAACCCTGGGAGAATCGCTCAGCTTCTCTGACCTGCAGTTTTCTGATCTGTACAATGGAGATAACATCACCTGCCTAATGGACAGCTGTTATTTCTGTCCAGTCAGCATTCCATCTCCCTGTTCTAGTAAAAGCAATTTGATTTCATCTAAGTCAAATAGAGTCCTGGTGTCAATCAAGTGACCTACCTTTTCCTGGACAGTCAAACTTCACCTCCCCGAGATTTCAATCTTGAGCAGAGTGACCCAAGAGTAGAAAATGTTTGTGGCTGATTCCTTCTGAGGTTGGCACCATGAAGGAACTGCACATCAGTCCCTTCTGACTGAATTTCCCGAGTCACCAGACTGTTGTCCTTCTTGGAGCCTAGTTGTTCAGCTTTTTCAATTCTATGAACTGTTCCCTATTCTTCCAACAGTCTGTGGTTTGGCTTAAGTTAGCTGAATTGGGTTTTTTTTGGTTTTTGTTTGCTAAAACAAAAAACTGTATCTGTATACCTACTTTATTAGAATTGCTTAGAGGATTAAATAGGAAAATTTACATAAAGCCTCTGACACAGTCCTGGTATTTAACACATTTATAGATACTCTATAAATGGTAGCTTTTGTGACTATTGGGTACTGTGGGCCCAAGATGAGGCAGAGAACAGTTCCAACAGATGGATTCTGAAGTTCAGGCAGACACACAGTATTAGGGGTAGCTATTCTCAGATACCAGGCCCCAGCTGTTATCTGTATAAAGAACTTATTAACCACTAAAGTTGGACTGGCCATGAGATTTGGTGGGACTTTCTAACTCTGGACGTGATCAAGCTTAGACTGAAGGCTTTGGGGAATCATAAGGCCATAGAAAGGCTCCACATTAGGAAAAGAGGCTGGACCTGAGGGTCTCCAAGTTCTCTCCCAACTTTAGGTAATCCAATTCCTAGCTTTCTTGTGCCACTCTCCTTCCTAATTTTTATCTTGACAGTGCCTTTTCAAGCGCTGTTCCCTCTACTCTTAACGACCTTCTTTACTTCAACCATCAAGCTGACTCCTATTGTCTTTCAGGATTCAGTTTAAGGGCTAGATCTACCCCAAAACCTTTCATCCCACCTTCATCACCCATCCTCCCTCTCTCCCCACCTCCCCAGTTTGCTTCCAAGAGCCAGCACACTGGGGTTTCATAGCGAATGCTCTACCCCATCTCAACTCTGAGGTCAAGCAGAGGCCAGATCTTTTTCACTCTATATTCCCAGAGCCCAGCACAATGCCTGACACAGAGCAGGTATTCAAGAAACATTTGACAAAGGAGGGAAGGAAGGAAGGGAAGAAGGGAGGGAGGGAGGGAGGGAGAGAGGGATGGAATGAAGGAAGGAAAGGAAAAGAAGGAAGTGAGGGAGGAGAAAGGAAAAAGACCCTGCATGATGCTTTTGGATTTTATTTATTGTGAGGTTGTGTGTTGAAGGTCATTTGTTGGTATTTGTTCTTATAGTTGGTGACCCAATTTATGTAAATGTAGCCAAATGGGCAGGTGGGAAATTTTTAACTACTCACAACTTACCTGGCTTTGCTGCCAAGGGACACAGCCAGGACGCAGTGATTCAACCTGAGAGGCTAGAGAGAGGACATCGGGTGAAGCAGACTGACTATGACAGGCCAGCATTTTCATTTCCTGCTCTAGGTAGTTTAAGCCCTAGATAATTCTCAGCATGTTTCCCCCCAGATCAAAGGTTACAGGATAGTTTATGTAAAGTACCTTTGAATATGCCTATCATGGTCATACACAAACTGTCCTAAATCAAAACGTTTATCACATGGGCCCAAAGAGAAACAGAACATATTACCTAACTATTTTGCCTTCATTAGTTAAGGAGCTGGTGACATGATTAGTTGCTTTAATCTCTGTAGACCATAATTCTATGCCTAACTTTAAAACAAAGCAAGAAACAAACTCCTCACTAGCCTGTTTTTATTTTTTCCTTGTTTTTTTCTCCTGCTGTCTTTATGAGCCCGTCCAATGAGGAAAAATACGACGGTCCCTCACCATGATGTGTGCCATACCCGGAACCAGTTAGATGATTTGTAATTATTTTTGCTAGTTAAATTAAACTTAGATCTTATATTGGAGAAAAATGTGTTTCTCCTTATACCCTGAATCAGGAGTGTCTAGCGTAGGGGCTGCACCAGTGTCATTATCCTCAGCTGTCACACCAA